ATGAAAATTATGCAAATATAAGTAATAATCACTTTTTTTAAGTGCTGCTCTGTAATGAGAAGTATAAGAGCTGCAAAATTTAAAAGCACATGCTCTTAGAGTGTTGTTCCTCAATGCACTTGCTTGTTAATGTCATTTGAGTAGTTTGCCTGTTTATTTTTTTTGGTGATTTTTTTTTTTTAACCTACAGAAGAGAAACGCACAACAGCAGTGTTTTTGCATGCCTTCGAGAATTGTAGAATTGTATATATGCCTGCCTTGCAAGCATGGCATGCTGCATTTTGAGCATTTTTAAATGCTGTAAAAACAAAAACAGGTTGTGTAAAAACACAAATGGAAGTTTTTGTATGCAAGCATGTGCCTCTTTCTCCAGATTATCGGGTATTATTTTGATCTTTTCAGTTAACCCTTCTGTACAGCGGCATATGCAAACTACACACTCACTGCCGGGCTGCTTTATCTCTCAGCAGATTCCCTGAGAGAAGCCCGGTCCTCATCAAATGTTTGGAAAAGGATGTTGTTTTGAAACTACTGTCAACTTCTCATTAAACAGACTCCATACAGGACTGGACTTGACTCTGCTCCTTCTCTTCTTCTCGCGTTTGATCTGTTATTACCGCCCGTCTTCCATTCCTCACAAGTTCTGTTTCACTCTTGCAGGCTACTAATGGTAATGATCCGTGGTCGGCGTGGAACGCGGACCCATCAGGGGGCTCCACCAACAACTGGGCATCTAATCCAGAGGGCACACAGACTGGGAAGAGCGCTCCTGACCCCTGGCCCCCTGTATCACATGGTCACCCTCAGGCTTACCAAGGCCCAGGTAAAAAAACCAAAAAAAAAAACCCCGAGATAGCTTCAGGAACCATGGTTGTCCTATTATTAGAAGTATAATGTAAACCTTTTATTATCATAAAAATCACTGTAATATCTTTCGACAGTTTGAAATTTCAACTTTCTCTTTTGTAGCAATACTCTCATACGACTGTGTTTATGTCATTCTGAAGTATGTAAGCTACATTTTCAAAGCGATTTTTAACGTCTTAATGTGGTTACAGGAAAGGTAAAGTCATGCAGTGGTTTTGGCTCATCACACTACCTCGTGAAACAGTTTAGCTCACTCTTTACTTGTTAAACTGTTCTTCTGCATAAGCTGTACTGTATATATGGCTGCAGGGGAGGGAGCAGTTCTACAAACACGAGTGACTTCAGAGTCCCTCGCACTTAATGCATCAAACAGTCAGGCTCACGTTGATTAGTTAGGTTGTTTTGTTGCAATCACAATTGGTTGATGTGATAAAGGTTGTTGCTTCAAAACAGCCTTTGGTGCTTTTTAGTGATTCTGCGTGAGTTTGTGAGCTCGGCTGACGTTTGGTTAAAGGTGTTTGAATTACAAACAGACAACAACTTGCGAGTTTGAGAATGCCTCTGTGGTAATACAAAAGATAAATTAAGCTTTGTGTTAAATTTTTGATTCATGCTTGATATCAAGTGTTTTGTTTTTGAATCATGCTTTCTGAAAAGCTCATTTTTAGATATGCAAGTGAGGCTTTATGTGTTTAATTTAGCATATTTTTTCAGGCCATTGGATAACATGGTGTTTAAAGTTCTTTAACTATTGTTGTGACAAATTGATATACCAAGTGTTTTTATTACTCCACAAATCACAAACTGCTGTCAGTTGTTGGAAAAAGTCCATTGACTCTTTGTTTTCAGTGATAAGATGCTCAAGAGGTCAGGCTTTTTATATATGGAAAAAATCCTACTGTGAAAAAAGTGCTACTGAATAAGGATTTCTGGCTGAGTGTATGAGGAAAAATCAATAATATGTGATGTAGGAAGAACACCCAGATGTACATTTTGGATGTTTCTTTTCCCGTGTCGTGAGAAATAGATGTTATGGAAACAAATCTTAAAATTGCAATTATGATTTTTCATTGAGCAGCCAGTGAAAGGTGTTTGCGTCATATATATTCTGTCCTTCATGTTATCTGATATGAACAGAAATGCATGCTATGTACAGTAGGACCTGTAATCTTGAACTCCACATACTATATTTGAAAATACTACGCGACTCAGATTTTCACAGATTTGCAGTGACTGTAACTCCTCGATGTGGTTTTTCTTATTTGTGCAGTCCCGCCACAGAGAGAAGCTCCAGCACGGGGACAGAACGGTCAAATCATGATTCTGTTTTCTCTAGACTGTGGAAAATTGTGCCTCACTCATGACTCAGAAGGATATATTACTTGAGCTGCTTTTTAAATTCTTCACTTTCTTTTGTAAAAAAACCCCCCAAATACATAAAAAAAATAGTACATTGGAAAAATGGTCAGAGGGGAAATTAACAGACTTTTCCTCTGTTTCTCTCTTGCTAAAGACATCTACCCATATCCTTACCTTATTGATTACACAGGTATTCCGTTTATTGCTTTTTGGAAGCCTGTTGCTCATTTTTGTGTGTGAACTGCCAATAATATGAAGAAAGAAACATTTCTTTTAAAGCATGTGTGTACAGTTTGACACTAACAATATTATCTTTGTTTAAGAGGAGGTTGGAGGAGCTTTGTTAGACGCCCTGCACAGATAGAGATCAGTAACTAAACAGAGATATAGTTTTCAGTTATAGACTTTGGTGAGTGGTGCAGGAATAAACTTTTAAACATTTGTAGATTTATACAAGAACACTTTTGGCAGGACTACCTTTGCTGCCTTTCTTAATTGTTTACCTTTATGGCATTTTAAATTTACAGATAGATAGCGGAGGAGAATGGCTGAGACTGTGGCTTACTAGCAGGTTAAATATACCCCAAGTGTTTACCCCTAGTTGGTCAACTCGCTTTGGAGCAGGTGGCAGACCACGGCAGCACATTTGTTTTGCCTTTTGTAGTGTTTCGTTTTCAGTTTGATTGTGATCCGATTGCAGTAAAAAGGAGTTGAACTGGGTCTGAGCTTGTCCTCCTGTGCTTGTCTGTGGGGGGTTGGAGCAGTAGCGTTATCAGCAGTGAACAGGCACACATACACAACACACATGTCTCAACTAACTGATCGGACACAAAGACACATATATTTAAAAAAACAAAAATGAAAATTAATGAGTAAATGTGATTCGGCAGGCCAACATGGAGATAGAATGAAAGTTGCTGTAATTTATGGGGGATTTTTGTGTATTTTCTTTGCTGTTTTATCCAGTGTGATTTGTTAGTATAATATGATATTTTACATGCCAGTTTCAGTTTTAACTAAGTTATTATATAGTCTCCAAGTCTGGCTTTGAAAGGCAGTGTTGGAACAGTGCAGCTATATGTATATGTGGAAATATTTTCTCTTACCGCCTGCTGCCTGATTCAGACTTTAATGGTCTGGCTGGCACCAATCCTAACAAATCATGCTCAGCCCTTTTTGCTTTGAACTGTGTCAATGCGTTTTGAAACCTGCTTTGAAATGAAGTGTGCAGCTTTAGACAAAAGCAATGATCTAGATAACATGTCTGGTTCAGTATGCATGCACTATTTTCACAAATGAGACGTACTGGAGGACAAATTTAAGCTTTGCAGTGTGTAATATTTTTAGCCATTTAATTGAAAAAGAGAGTGATGATGCTTAAAATCTTAAAGCATGAGAACCATTAATAGATTTGCATTGCTTCTGATATAGATGTGTGCTGCATGCCCTCATGCTCAAACAACTGACTCCTCTATCTCAAGAAAAATCTGTTATGTTATATTTAGACCCACACTAAGTAAAGCTCAGTGAAGCATTAAGGTGTGAATTTTCACACAACTCTTGTAGTAGGAACATCTATAAATGTAGTATAATAGTTGTACACAGTGCTTTTTTTTGTGCATGTGATCTGAAAACAAACAACTTGGTTTACACGAATCTTACCTCAGGGGCAGAGGATGATGAGTGGGACGATGAATGGGATGACATGAAATCCACTGGCGGTTATGCTGAGTCAGAAGCCGGAGAAAGTGGAGCACTGCAGAGGGGCGGATCACATGCAACTTCAATGAAAATCTCCCTCAACAAGTAAGAGTTAATAAGTCAGTAATGTGCCTGGCTTCAAATCAGCTTTTAACATAAAATAAGCTGCACTGTACAGTTTGAGCTGTTGATCAGAGTTTGGACAGCAGAATTTACTTCTGCCAAAGTGTGTTCAGGCTCTTACTGTAGATAATAATAAACTGAGTTGCAGCAGCACAGAGTAATCTTGTTCTAATAATGGTAACATCGTATCAAATAACTGCTCTACACAAGACTAATCAGGAAATTTTGTCTTGTGTCTTTGAGCAGGTTCCCTGGGTTCTCCAAGTCGGGTCCGGAGCTTTACCTCCTTTGCAAGCAGCTTGTAAAGGGCAAAGACAGACTTCCAATTTATGTAGGTCATCTCCAAAAATGTTTTTTTTGTGTGTGTTTTTCTTTAGTTCTGTTAGAACATCAACGTGCTTCTTATTAAGTTATAACACAGAAGTCACCAGTCATAATTAAAAACCTATGGCTAAATTATTTCTGTCAGAATATTCGCCTTTATATAAAGTAGTATTGTAGCATCTTTTGCCAGCTTGCCATATGTTTGTCTGGCGCAGTAGACTTCTGAACCTTCATGTTTTGTGCTCAGACGGGAGAAGTTGGTCCAGTGTGGTCTTACCCAGAAACCCAGCTAGACTGTGTTGTAGCTGATCCCAAAAAAGGCTCAAAGATGTATGGCCTCAAGAGCTACATTGAGTACCAAGTCACACCCAGTGTAAGTATCCAAGAGCTATTTTTTTAGGTTATCAAATCAACTAAATGCACTAAGCTAATCTTTAGACGCATAAATAAATGTAAGAAAGACTGAAATGTATATTTTACTTCCTTTAATGGAAGCTGTACTTTTTTTTTTTTCCCCCCCCTGGGCATGCAGACCACAAACCGACCTGTCAATCACAGATATAAACACTTTGACTGGTTGTATGAAAGGCTTCTGGAAAAATTTGGGTCAGCCATTCCCATCCCTTCTTTACCAGATAAGCAGGTTACAGGTAGGTAACTAGCCAATAAATGCGTATGGCTGAATATATTTGTTTTTTCCGTTCTTTACGCATTGATCTCTTTTAAAAGGCCGTTTCGAGGAAGAGTTTATTAAGATGCGTATGGAGCGGTTACAGGGTTGGATGACCAGGATGTGCAGGCACCCCGTTATTTCCAGCAGTGAAGTATTTCAGCTTTTCGTCACCTACAAGGATGAGAAGGTAAACTGATACATCCACTTCCCATCTTTTAAGGTCTTTGAGTATGTGTTCTAAGACTGTGTTGCTGAAATCAGTCTTACATGAATGATTTGAGGTGTCAGTTAGTTATTTAAAGCTAATGTAACAAAATAATATGTAATATATAACTATAGAATAACTAGCTATTGTCAGTTGACTGAGGTGACGTGTGTCCATGTTGGTGTACATCTAAAAAGGTACTCTTGGCTGAGCCCTTATTTCCCAAGTGATGGATCTGCATGTTTGATTTGGCACAGATTTTGCACTGGATGCCCTTCCTGACACAATCCTCCCATTCATCCAGGATTGGGACCTCCACACAGGAAGGCATCACCTTGTGGTGCTGTTCAGCAGTTGCATTTAATCAGTTAATTGCTCACAGATGTAAATTCTAGACTAGACAGACTGCCTAACTAGCAAAACCTAATGAAAATCATGCAGAAACAGCTGGATATGGACTCCCATAGTTGTCCGGTTGCCCAGCCTTCTGTATGGAAGTCTTGTCTCTGGAAAGGCATGAAGGAATTTCTTTAAAATTGTCACAAATATTAATTGTGCCCCAAATGAACTGAATTTGCCGGTTATGATTTTGACGATAACTTGATAATTATTACGCTAATTATTGCAACACCAGACTGAAATGTCTGTTCAAAAAGTGCAAACTCAGCTTCAGTTTGACTTTATAAAGTATCACAGAAACCCTTTTCTGGCCACGACTATAAACTGCAAAGCAGTAGCAAACAACTGCAGGAAGTTAATTCTACTTTCTTTCAGCCAAATGTTGCAGATCAAAACTAAGATTGTTATTACTAATAGTTTAGGGTTGGGGCTTATTTTGTGGCATTAACTATTTCTGTTTTTAATTAAAACAATTGATTGTTACAGGACTGGAAGATGGGCAAGAGAAAAGCAGAGAAGGATGAGACGGTAGGAGTGATGGTCTTCTCCACAATGGAGCCTGAAGCTCCAGACCTGGACCTGATAGAAGTGTGAGTTTTACCAAGAGAAACTATAGCACCAAAAAGTGTTTATGTAACTTGTGTGTAGTACTGTATTGCGTAATTCATGCCAGTGGTGTTCCTCATTCACAGAGAACAGAAATGTGAGCAGTTTAGCAGGTTTACCAAATCCATGGATGACGGGGTGAAGGAAATCCTCACAGTGGGGCATGAACATTGGAAGAGATGCACAGGCCGTATGTTCACACTGCACTCAAGCTAAATAAGTGTTTAGCACACCTAGGCCACACCTTAAGTCTGTGCTGTAATTACTATTTACATTAAATGTTCATTATTCTGAATATTTTGTCAACTTAGAAAGATTGGGGGGAAAATGTCTTTGTTACTTTGTTCATTTGTTTTACCATAGCTCTGCCCAAAGAGTATCAGAGAATCGGCAAAGCCTTCCAAAACCTTTCCTCTGTCTTCACCAGCAGCGGATACCAAGGTACGGAGTACAAATATCGATTCAGCGTCATGTGTAATTTGGAGCACTTGAGGCATTTTCCTGGGTGTAAGGATTTGGGTTTGTCACACCGATGTCTCAGGTTACAGCTGGAGACATCTGGAGCAATCAGAGCTATGCTGTAATGTGGACTTTGGTTTTGAAATCGAGTGTTCGTTATTTACTGTTGGGAAACAGTAGGATGTATTTTAACAGTGTTTCTCGCTGCAGGTGAGTCAGCCCTAACTGATGCCATGACAGCAGCTGGGAAGACATACGAAGAGATAGCTCAGCTGGTTGCAGAGCAGGTACGTACTTTGACCGCTGCTGTAAAATAATCTAATGTGACTGCTATTAAAAGTAAGAGAAATGTGTCTACCCTTACTTTTCCTCTTGTGATTATGTCTGGAAACTCACACACAGACCATAAAGAGAGAGGGGTAGGGCAACATCTTTCAGTGGCCATTATCTGTGTTCACTGCATGTCTCAATATCTGTGAGCATTTCCCAGTTCCCCTGTTGCTGACCTCTTTAACCCAGCGTCCTGCTCGTCAGTTTCTATCTGTGCAGGAAGAGGCTTATGGCAAACTTATTCCTAGTGCTTCCTTAGTTTTGCTTTGACTCATGTATCAATGTGGCTTTTTTGTTTTTTTGACTGAATGACCCGATGAGTGTGCAAAGTAATAAAGTCCATTCTTGGCCTTTTTGATGTCCCAGCAGCTTCCAGAGGAAGGATTTGTCTGGTAAGCTCGTCCTGCTCCAGGCAGACTTTGTTAGTGATTTGGTAGAATTCTGATTTTAGTTGAGTGAAACCTGTGATGTGGTTTAGTGTTGGAGAAATACGATCACTAGACACGGATTCATCTCAGGGCACAAAAGGAACCAGTCCAATTTATCTGATGTTATCCAAAATGGATGCAAACAGCACTCCCTGCAGAATAAGGTCAATAGTGAGCAAAGGAATTGGCACTACAATTTAAAATGATAGTTTGGCTAAATATTGTTTTATTTCTGTGCCATCTCATCCCAGTGTATCTCCCTGTTGGATGTTCCTCTGAATACATGATGTTTTATATATAGTATTGCTATTTAAAAAAAGGAACATAAAGTGTATTCTGTGGTAATCCAAAAGGCAGTAAATAAAAAATTTAAGACAGGTAAAAAAAAAAAAAAAAAAAAAAAAAAAAAACCTACACTGAATTATGGCTTCATTGTATTTTCTCTTATCAGCCTCTTGCATTCCTTCCTGCTCTGTTTTACTTTCTTCTATTTTTAAGTACTGGTGACTTTTACCTTTTTACATTTATAGTTCATGTTTGTGTCTATTTTTGTTTTCTCTCAGCCCAGGAAAGACCTCCACCATCTCATGGAGACCAACAATGAATACAAAGGACTACTTGGATGTTTTCCAGATACCATTGGAGTCCATAAGGTACACTAACATCCATGCCACAGGAAATGGGCTGGAATGTGATAATTTGCTGTTATGGGGTATCTGATAGGAACAGAGGTGCTGTGCGTGCCACAATATAGATAGTACAGACACCATACCAACATCTTCCTTTATTTACACATTTACATATACACACACCCCCACATGCTAACGCATACACTTTCAACCTTCAACTACAGTATAAGGATACCTGTTTAAAATATGTCACCGCCTCTATATCACTACTACACCTTTACAATATATGTCAAGTGTTCAAGTTAATTATTATCCCTGTTCTTTGCCTAAGATTACAAAAAACTTGGGAATGTGTATGCACACACATTTTGCATGTACAGTCTTTTTGAGGGACCCAGTGCTTTTTTTTTTTTAAAAGTATTTTCTAAGTAATATAGAAAAAAATTGCCTATGCACTCCATACTAAAGTGTGAGCAATTTCTGTTTTTCATAGTTAATATCATTGCAAAGTGAAAACTCTGAAGCCCCTGACTGTTGATGTCTGGGACCTGTACTATTTGCAGAAATCACTATAGCGGAAGTTCCCAAAACTGCTCAACACACACTCAAACAATCTCTGATAGGGTTAAAAATAGCACAGCAGGGGAAAAACATGCATATCTGATTTTTGGGTGAACTGTCCCTTTATCAGATAGAAGCAAAAATTAACAAGTAGCAGTGTGTGCATATTATTATACAAGGTTTAAATAGTCTAACTAAAGTGCCTTCTGTTTACTTTTGGTCCCTGCAGGCAGCCATAGACAAAGTGAAGGAAGGTGACAAACTGGTAGCCGCCAGTAAAATTACTCAGCAGGACAAAGTCACCATGGCTAAACGTGCCAGCACCATGTCTTACGCATTACAAGGTACAGCACGGTCACAGATACTGAAGTAATTTGCTTTATCGCTGCATGCAGGCTGATCACTGTGGTTTCTCTTGTCTTGTGCTGCAGCTGAAATGAACCATTTCCATAGCAACCGTATCTATGACTACAACAGGGTCATGCAGTTGTACCTGGAGGAGCAAGTCAAGTTTTACGAGACGGTAAAGGCATTTTAATAGAGCATTTCTCACAGTAAATTTGACTGTGAAACAGTTTGTCCTTTTCACTTCCTTATTACCTGGAAAGAAAGTAGTTTCATACCAAAGTGACGATATGAAGGCGTCACATGACCTTTTTGTATTAATGCTCGTTTGTCTTCCTCTGCACCCCCACCCCCCCAGATCGCAGCGAAGCTGAGACAAGCGCACAGTCAGTTCACTACAATGTGAAAGCGGCCGCTGGCTGTCTTGCACTAAGAGACGAGAAGATTTAAACCAGCTCAAGATCCAAAATAATTTTGCTTATTTTGCATTTTTCAACCCCTGTCCTCTTTAATTTAAATTTCACTTCTGTTTTTCTCTTACCTCATCTCCTCTTTTTACAACTCATCCCAGCAGTCCCTGCTTTGCGGTATCCGCTACTTCGATGTTAAAGAGTACGAACGACATCTGAAAAGGCTTCAAGAGTGACAGCAGCTGTAATTCTTAACACAGACAGGAAAAAAAATCATGTTGTAGTTACAGTGGCGATGAAATCAAACCCTGGCAATTCTTTAACGTGATATAGTTTTGTTTTTTTGGGTTTTTTGTACAGCTTCACGTGCAAACATAACCATCTATCTCAAGGTAAAGCTCTGCAGCCTTTCACTTTTATTCCATGTTAATATTCATATAGGAAAGGGCGCCAAATACCAAAGCTATTCTCCGCTCTGCCAATAAGGACAGCCAGGATATATTCAAGCTTTACTGTAGCTTCATTTGAATAATTTTGTTACCATATATAGTATTTATATGTAAAAAGAAATTTTCACTATTGTTAGCAGAAGCATTCCTTTAAGGATTCAAATCTTGAAAGAGTTAGCAAAGGCAGTGTGTGCGTCCTCCCTGTGTGTGACCACCACTCGCAGCTCCCAGCTCCCCTTCATCCCACACTTCCTCAAAAGCGAACAGGAAGCTCCACCTTCTTCCTGTTTTCCCTTTTGAGAAAAATTGAAATGGTCAACCTGGTTGGCACCCCAAAGCTCCTGCATACTCACACACTGCAGTTTGCATTTTAAGAAACAGAATCTGGAATGAGTCTTTTTTTTCTATTCTTCTTTTTTCCTTTTCTGTTCTTTTCTTTTTTAAAACATTTAAAATAAAAGTCATTGGATCAGTGGTTCCCTGCCACACTAGTTAACTTTCTCTCAGTACTTCGAAAGAATATTTGCCCTTGTTTGACGGAGTCATTGTGTTTGACATGATGGTACAAGAATAAAGTCATCTGTAAGAATTCGTACTATTAGAGGAGTTTGGAAGAGCCATGAATTATGTGTTCTTGTTTTTGCTTATCACCGCCCAGTTTTCAAATCAATCTGTAATCTTGTTCACTCTTTGTTAGAAAATATAAATTCTACTGCACCTATCAGGGGTTTCTTGTAATTGATATGTTATGTATAGAACTATTTGCAATACACGTGTCATTTAAAAAGAAGCAAAAGTTCAGTTTGATTTATTAAACAATGATTTGTACTCATTAGGATGTCATTTATTGCGTGTGTGTGTGTGTCTTTGTGTGTTTTGTGTTCTGACTCGGAGGGGACGGCACACTACGCACCCGGATTTCCTCACACTAAAGCCTTTATTCGCTGCAGCAGATTCTTGCGTAGATATGGACAGGAATGGGAATGAGCTGGCAGCTTGTGTGAAGAGTGCATTTTGTGAATTCTTGTTGTGAAGGAAGTGAAAGAGCCCTTTTTACCCTGCTCTCATTTCACGCTGCCATCAGGTGCAGTTGTTCATGTAGGCCACAGTGGCTATATGAATAGATCTTATCAAATGGAATCACCCGCAGTGTGTTTATTGCTTCACAAGACCATATAGAAAGCTTGCAGAATTATTTTCCAGTTTTTGCAAGAATTGAACTGATATTTTGCAATCCCGAGGCTTTTTGGGAATATATCTGCTAAACACATACCATATTATCATACTATAGTAACATCAAATGCTATTGGTCTGTGGAAACCCCAGGTTTAAATCAATACGATGTAAGTAACTAACACAGATAATGTGTTATGTGTAGAATGATTATACAGCAATGAATGCCATGCCATTAAAAATATGTCTATAGTCATGCATAACTTACAAGACATAGAAAGTGCCGTGCATTTAGTACTCAGTGCTTTAAAGTGCCAACTGCAGGAGTTTGAGTCCTGCATTACACAGTCTAATTTCCAACTCACACGAGCTACATCCTGCTCATGTGCTCAGCTGCACATTTGCTGCTCAGTACTACCTCTTTCTGGCACCATGACCACAGAGACTGATTTGATTGTGTCACTTTTTTATGGCATGTGGTATGAAAACAAACACTTGGCAATTACATTATTTTATTTTATTTTTTGCTGTAATTACTGCATCCCCCCCCCCCAAAAAAAGTGTAAGTATTCATAACTGTGTTATTGACAGCTTTTAATAAGCGCATACAGTGCTGTCACTTAAAGCTGACAAAGTCATGTAATGTCTCTTCTAACTCCATATAACACTATTGCATGCTATGCAGAATGTTTGGCATGAAGGTATAAAGCATTATAAAGTTCTAAAAAAAATTATGACCCACAATGGTAATTTTTTCTAGACCTTGTTAAAAGCTGTCAATTTAAACACTTGTGGAATGTGTTATAAATGTATTATAATGCCCTGCACATGATGTAAGATGCTTATGCATTACAGATAAGACCTTGATGGAGAGTTGGGGAGAGGGGATGCACTGCTTGTAGTTTCTGAATGTGAAACATGTCTTTAAGCCACATTTTATTAAGTATATATAGTGTTTATTGCACAATTAATACATTAATGTGTATTTATATGGAGTCTTCAGATAGCACATGACCTAATACTTTGAGACAGTAGCACGTATCAGATATTAAGTGACTTTGTTTAGTAATATCAAACCCTTTTTATTTCAATGATTTTTTTCCCCCATTGATTAAAACAGTAGAAGAACTCCAAAATAATAAAACTGGCAATAGAGTGATTACAAATAAGCACATACATGCAGAGTGTTCAGCAAACTGTGTCATGTGATTCTTTCCAGTTGCAGGTTGTCTCCACATGGTGGCTAGAAGACAACCTTGTCATCACACAAATACATTTTGGCTGGTATTTTACACGTCAACATTAACAAACTATAGTACAAAAAGAAGTATAAAACAAGGAAGAATTCACTTACCAGGAGTGAGTGGGGGGAAAGAAATAATCAGTGAACAGGATGATGTTTATATTCACACAATACAACATGGATATCAGCCGCAGTCACATAAGATTTAAAAGCAAAGAGGTTACCAGGTAGGTCTGCTCCACACAGAAAAACGTTTCCTGAGCATACAATAAAGTGTAATCATCATCGTCCTGATCATCAGATATCTTCATCCCTACAAATGCTGCCAAGGACGCCAGTTCCCGTGTCCTCACCATTGTTATGGTGACGAGCGGCTTTGGAAGCTGCGTGGCCGGATCATCATGCTGACTTTGCGTAGGGAATAATAATCAGAGTCTTTCCAGGAGTGCCAAACAATTCCATCTGGACCCAGCGGCCCTCGCCCTTTGGGAGTGTAATGGCCTCCCTGTATGATGAAGAAGAAGATAAGAATTTGTCTTTAAAAATGTAAAATGCAGGGTAATTTGTGTATCCTTACCCTGTAATAGACTCCATTAAGGTTGGCGTAGAAGCACTGGTTATACCACCAACCGCCATGTGAGATCTCAGCGCAGATGTTTCCACTGTCTGGTGTACTGAAGCCCTGCTTATTGTGGTACCAACTGAAAGAGTCCTGAACCGTACCACTGAAGCCTGACACATGGAGACGGTACTGATGCTCCTCATCTTCCACACTGCAAGAAATTATGTAAGGAACACAGTTGCTTGTGTATGTTTTGGGATATCCAGCCCAATGTAAGTCTGCACAGTTGGTTATCTGACACTAACCTGAAGCTCTGGTAGAGGGCATGCTTGTGCTTGCTGGTCCAGTCTTCCAGGTCAATCCGCAGGCTGTAGTCTCCCTGGGCACTCAGATCATGTATGTGGTCATTGCCTAACCAGAACTCTGAGTGCAGCTCACCAAATCCATCCCTGTAGTCCCTCCAGTTGCGGTCAAAGCTCACTGAGCCATCAAATCGCCGCTGAATCACAGTCCAGCCGCCACCTGGGAGAAAGTGTAAAATTCATTCCATGTTTGATGGGTTATCATCTGCTCAGCTGATGACTATAGGTCAGGTACAGAATACTTAACAATTTGACGAAAACATTAAGTAGCTATTATAAATGGCAGTGCATATTTTAACTCTGGCCATTTTTCTGATCTCAGTAATCGGTCTGATATTAAATAAAGTGACTGTATCAGCTCAGAAAGCCTAAATCCATAGACAAACTCTGAAGGCTTCATGCAAGTGTACCAAGTAGAACTGGTTTTAAAGGAGGTTTGGTCACAAAAATGGTATTGCATTTATGCGTTGGATGAAAATAACTAATGGATAATCTATGGCACTGCTTTTGAAGTTATGCGCATGAACAACAATATTTGGTGTTGTATGGTCACATTAATCATGTCCAAAGTTTTCAAATAATGAGGGTTTACACAGTTAAAGCTCAGGCTTTAGACTGCTCCAAATACTCTGTTTTAGTCAGGTATTTCTACCCTTGGCTCTGTATGATATCACTAAGAGTAGACATGATCATATGGTCATTTCATGCACACAGCTCTGGCTGTCAGCACAGACCTGCTGTTCGAATCTTTTGTTTTGAGGGGCAGCAAATCAGAAGAAAGTTGGCTTAAAGAGAGGAGGAAGTGGGGGTTAAAGCAAACTGTTTTAGACAGGAAATGAACTCGGGGATTTTGCCAAGGATGAGTGTGAGATTGTAAATCATGCAGTGCTACTGCAGTAGAGTCCCAGAATAATAACATGGAGTTGAAAATTACCACCATAGCTTCCCTTTAATCAGAACCGCTTGCACATGACTTACCATCTGTGTCCATATCGCAATAGACTTCCACAGGCATCCCTGCCAGTGATGGCACCACAGTGTAAAGGCCAGATCTCCTGACACCATTGTGGTAGATAGAGGCACAGTCTATAGGACAGTTCCTCACATGCTGGATCTCTGAAAGAAGAGTAAAACAGGCAAGAAAGTGTCAGAGAAAATCAACAAGTGGTATTTGGCACCCTCTGCTGGAACATCATTGCTTGAGCATGTACCTGGGTGCAGCGCATTGTGAGCATTCATGAGAGGATTGGGTCGGACAATGTTGATCAAACAGCCGGGGCTTCTTTTTACTTTATCCACCAAAAGTGTCAGATTATGTAGTTGGTTCTAAACATAAATACAAACAGAGGCCAACACTCAAAAACACTTTTGCTAACATTTATAACAAAAAAGAGAGAAAAAATTCTAACGAAATATCCCCAGATGGTAATAACCTGAAGGTCTAGGATCAGAGTCCCCTGTAAGTGCAGCAGGGTAGTGGCTTCAGCGTAGTGCTGCTCCAACTCATGAAAACGCTGCTCCAAGGAGATGTTCAAGTGGACCCTTTCTTCACTCTGAAATCATTGAAATAGAAATACACAGACTCACATGTGAATGAAAGGACGTTCAACAACTGAGACAAGTGCATTTTTAAATTAGTTAAAAATAAAGGAAAGAAATCATTCACATTCCTGTGCCAGATATACCAATCTGTTACAGGAACCCTTCATTCACATGTTAAGACATGCAATATCTGCCAAACCAACATCTAGATCCATCCATCCATCCATCCATCCATAAAGGGTCATGGGGCCTGCAGAAGCCCAGACCTCCCTCTCCCCAGCTACCCTCTGCAGTTCATCTGAGGGAACACTGAGACGTTCCCAAGTTAGCCAAAAGATATAATCTCTCCAGCATGTCCTGGGTTTGCCCCAGGGCCTCCTCTGGGTATAACATGCCCAGAACACCACACACAGGAAACGTGTGGAGCAAGTCCACTAGTAATACTTAAAGACAGATTAATCTATTCAGAGCTCAGACACACCACCACCAACAACTCCCATCACCACAAACTCCAGAGCCCTCTCCCCTGTCCTGTGCTTCCTGTGCAACACACAAGACACGAGCCACTTCATCTGTGGCCACCGACCAGTGTCTCTGTTTAAGCTCACACTGAGACGAATGAGGCAACACATGCAAGAGTAGAGTAATCCTGTTAGTGACTAAGGTCAAGGGCATGCTGGGAGAGAAGCCAGTTTGATGACCAAGCACCACATCAGAGTAAAGAACTGCAGCACGTTTCCTGTCGTAGGCGGACATGTTTATTTCAAATAAAGCTGCAATCAAGGCTTATTTGATCACATGTGGCTATATTTAATACTACAGACAGAACATATTAAGTTATAATAGCGCAAAAAAAAGTGAGCCACTGCAGGTATAGTCTTAAAAATAAAACAAGAAAATATGTTTTCACACTGTCACAATATTCTCCATGTAGCTATCAAAGCTAAAAGG